GTTGAAGGTTGGTTTCACACACGTTGCACTTGAATTAGTTAAAGTTGAACAAAATTTGAATACGTGTGAATAAAATTGAACCTAACTGAGGAAACATTACTCTAGAATGTTTGCAATTGAGTTCAATATCTTTGAATATGCCTTAGGGTAATGTATTGAAATGATGAATTTTGGATGGATCTTTTAAAATGAAAATTTGTGCAATTTTCAAGATTATTTGTTTTAAGCATTTAATGATTGAAATTGGATATTGTACTTATTTTCCATCCAAACTCATCCATATCTTGTAGAGAATTGCTTTTAAGCCTTCATTTTGTCATGCATGCATTTGAGACTAAGGTTATTAAGGTGACTAGACTGTAGAAAACGGGGGAGATATGTTTCTGCTGAGGACTGAACTGATAAACAGCAAAGTTGACTTGTTTCAGGTCTAGCTCGAGCGGTCAACCACCTCACTCAAGTGGTCTATCTAAAGTTCAGGATATCCAAGGAGTCCAAGTCATCCCTAGTTAGCCATTTGAGTTATGGCTTTAGAGACTTAGTATTAAGTCATATGTGAGCATGAGAGTTTTATTCATTAATGGCATGTACTAAAGTACTTTGTTTATTTTATTTGTTGACTTTTAGCTTTTAAAGTACTTTTGTTGATTTTTCTTTGATGCTTAATCATATATGACTTCGAGTTATATGCCTTATTTGTCCTTTGCTTAGTCTAGGTGCATGATTTAGCTAGTTACTTTCCATTCCTAACCTTCTTGTTATATTATGATGCAATGTCATGATTGTTATGCGTTGTCATTAAATTGTCATATATGAAAAATAAGATAAGAATATGTTAGGTGACTTGATTCTGCACTGTGGTTATTGCATTGCNGCAATGTCATGATTGTTATGCGTTGTCATTAAATTGTCATATATGAAAAATAAGATAAGAATATGTTAGGTGACTTGATTCTGCACTGTGGTTATTGCATTGCATGTGGTCATTGGGTTTACATTTGTGACAAAAAGGGAGAATATTTTAAATACATAAGAAAGTAATTGGGGAGATTTTCTCTTGACTAGAATAGATATGTTAAATGTGAACATAGAAAGGGAAAGTTTGTGGTTCAAATACTCGAAAGGAGTAAATTTACAAACTTGGCACGAAGTCACACATTTTTATTTGTTTATTTTTCACTTGTTATTTTATTTATGAACACCAACTAAAGGGGAGAACTAAATATATTTTGCAATGATAAATCAATTGGTTCTCAAGCATTTTAGACACAATTTAGTTCAAACATGTTACATATTTGCACTTGCATGATATATACATACTTATGTCTTACGCTTCTCTTGGTACTTTCCATACCTCTAATTATGTAATTTATTTCTCTAACATATGATGTATTTCATGAGGTTCTGATTTGAGTGGTGATGTGTAGGACTATGATCTTCAAGCTTCATCGAAAGATATAGATCCTTATAATAGATAGAGTTTTAAGAAGTATGCATAAGTGTTTGAGATTAGATTTACAATTCTTTTGTTCAATAGTTTGGGATTGTAATCTTTATTTCAAACTTGTGGGTTTTTTCACGAAATTCCCAAAAGGAGAAATTGTTAGATCATGTTTTGTAATTAGATAATTTTGTGGAGTCCATTATAAAATCTCAACCACTTCCATGGTCATGATCCTATCAAGTTCAAGATATAAAAGTAATATTGAAGGGAGGAGATCAAGCATCAAAGCTATATCATTCAACCTCTATATACACATACATGCTTAGAACAAATGCAATGACCTAAACAACTAATATGATCCTTTAGTTATTTTTAACTTA